CAGGCCAGGTACCAGGGGCATGATGAACCTGAACCTCTGAACCAAGCTTGTCACCCCTGTTCCGTCAAAGAAAAAAGTTCTCTGCTTGGAATAACAAGGAGCATCTCCAAACCCATGTTTACCCACCTCCATCTCAACCCTCATCCCGGACATCTAATGGATCCACACGTAAGGCACGGCATCGAACGGTACCTGGGACCTGCAGCTGCCTGCCTGCCAGCCGTGTACTGTGTCCAACAACGAGGTCGTTCTCCAGAGTCACTCATGCAAGCGGTACATGCGCGAGCGAGCGCGGTCCTTTTCTTTCTTTTCAGCTCTTCTTCTATCTTCCTTGGTACATACATGGTACCTTATTATAGCCCTAGGGTCAGGTAAATACATTTACCCTATGATGCCCACCCTCCACCATCTCACCCATCTCCCGCGAAGTCCGGGACGGATCGATCTGATTTCTCTTACTCATCTCTCTTTCCCTCACCAATGGCTTTTCGCTCATGAAATCTGAGCCTTTTCTCGTTTCCATCCATCCATTCATTCATTCAACTACCGGCTTGCTAGAGTCCAGCTTGTCTGTCTGTCCTTGTCATTCGTTCATCCGACCTAACCGAAAACGATCCCCTTCAGTCTCCAGTTTCCTCAAACTCCGCTTCCGACTCCATGCCTCTTGTCTCCCGTTGACAAGCCTTCCTTGTCCAAAATTATCGAACTGCATTCTCACCAATCCCACCAATCCCGGATTCTGTTACAGATACCTACCTACCTACCTACAGTAAACACACTGAGAACAAGAAGAGGAGTTGGGACGTTTACACAAAGCTTCTTCCGTCATCGTCGTGGGGATCTTTTGCAGCTTTGCATGAATCTTGCTTTTTCCATTTTTTTTTTTCCCACTCAATCCTTGGAATATTATTCGAATCGAATCTTCCCTACACCCAAAATCGCTTGATTCCCCAAAGCTCTCGGATTCGATCGGTTGGGAATACCCGATACCTCGACTTAAATCAACAACACACCAACCGGCTGGTTACCGATAGACCTGGACTTGGACCTGAAACAGACTCCCTCGAACTATCCACATCGAACTACAGTACAATACAGTACAACACAATCACGACCAACTCCAAAAAAGGATTCCAGATACCTAGTCGTTAGCATTCACATGACCAACTGACGGCTGGCCTGGCTTGTTTACCGCGTTCACCGCATCGACTCCATACCACGGTACAAAATCTCGGCTTCTGCGGCTTCCTCAATTTAGCTGCCATCCACATACATACCAATCCGGAAACTCCAGGGAAGGATCCGAGAAGCCCAAAGAATCATTTGGGGCAGTCATTCCCCAGCTTTCGTATTATCCAATCCAATCCGCGTGGAGCTGCTTGTTGCTGGTTATTCCGGTAGCTGTTTCATAATCCCCAATCCTCGCAATTCTCGACGGAAGAGGGTTAGTTACTAGCAATCGGGGTACATACACAGTACATTTTTCGTCGTCGGAAGCTTCCTTACAAACGGGAAACTGCAGGAGAAAGAGAAAGGCAGAGAAAGGGAGGTTGGGGCACTGTATTGGTCTGCTTGATTGCTTGCTTTCCAAGGGGATCATCAAAACCTGCAGCGGCAGCATACCTACCGCCTGTCAAAAAGAACAAGAAAGTTGTTTGTTTGCTTTTCTCAAACGGAAAACGCATAGACCACATCTTGTTTTCCGTCTGCTGACCGCCGACCTCTTTTTCCTCACCTTCCAAGCTAAAGCCTTCAAGGGCTCCTGGTTGATTGCTTTGCCCTGGCCATTGTTGAACCAACGTCTTGGGTCAATCGAATCGAACGAGAACTTTTACACGACACAACGCGGCAGGACGGGAACGAGGGGTTGGACTAGAGCCGGGGGAAGGGTTACCAAAATAACCTTCTTTTTTGACTTAACAGTACCCGTCGGAGCCGTTCGTTCGTTCGTTCGTTCGTTCGTTCACTCGTTCGTTCCACATTTTACCTTCCTCCCCTTCCCGAACCGCCACACGGCACGAACCACTGGGGTTAACAAACGAAAAGACGACCGAGAAGCCCGAACCGAACCCATAAGAGTTTCATAAACGAACCTCTTTCTTCTGGACTTTCGGTTCTTTCGTCCTTTTTTGTGTTCTTCCGCTCTTCGGTTCGACTATCATCAAATCATCAACACGTAATGGCGATACCACATGTGGTCCCAGCATTGCTGGGCGCAGTAGCCATCCTTGCGACAACATCTATCTTCGTCATTCATATTATCCTGGCTCGGTCATTAGCACAGGAAACTTCTTCGCCAGTCAAGACGACAGCTATCGTCGCCGCAGTATTTGAGGGCTTGGCACTTCTCACAACAACTTTCATCTTGGTGTCGAGTTACGTGGTTTCATGCTTGGTTAGGAGGTTCAATGGGGTATTGTTCGGAGTTGGACTTTTTGTGTGCTCGGTAGCTGCTGCTCTATCGATCGCCACCTTGGTGTTGCTCAGCAAAGATTCGGCGAAGCTGCCGACAGAGGTGGCGGGGACGAAGACGTCGGGATTCCTGGTTGGAGGCTCGGTGGCATTGGGAGTTACTTTTGCGGCGCAGTTTCTCTTCCAAGTCCTACAGTTCATCAGTGTTCGGATGGGTGATGCGGGCTTTGCGGGAGACGAGGAATGCCCGGCAAGGCAACAAGTCAAGGCGATCCCCTACCAGCAAACAAACCCCAACACGGAGAAGGTCCGCTTCGAAGACCCAACTGTGCCAGGGCGGGCAACTCCTCGTCCAAGCTATGGCCACTCGGTGGGCAACTCTCTGAGCTCGTGGCGCTCATCACTGTACTCAGTGATGCGTCCCGTACCCTCAAAGACCCATCTCCTAGCGAGCAGCCAGTACTCGCTCCCTCTGCGCATTCGCCAATCCGACTCCATCGACTCAACCGCCATGCGCGAGCACCACACCGCCATGCGCGAGCACCACACCGCCATGCGTGAGCACCATACCGCCTCCGTCGCCACGACCCTGAACGGCTTTGACTCCTGGGATACCTCCTCTGTCGACCCTCAGAACCGACAAACCGTCGTCGAGGGCGCCTCCGCTTGCTCGCCAACCATGCCACCCGCTCCCTTCCTCGAGACTATCCCCGCTAGTCCCATGGCCAGCGGACAACCCAGTCCTGGGCTACCTCCTACCGACAGCCAGCTAAACATTGGCAACAGCCTGCTCATCCCGCCCAAGAGCATCCGCCGCCGCAGCCGCTCCTTCAGCCCCGCCTCTATGCGGTCACTGGAGCTCGCGCGGGAAGCGTTCACCCAGCACGCGACGCACAGCGAGACGCACATCAGCGAATCACACATTCACCCTCTCTTCCGATCTGACTCGCCCACGCCCCCGGCTATCGTGTCTCCAGGGACAGTGGTGGTAGCGGCGCCCAACGGCGGACAGGTGCTATCAGATAAGCATAGCATTCGCACCCTAGCGAGGAAGCGAAGTGGGAGCTTGCCGGCGGTGTCGAGCCCGTTGAGCAGGCAAGGATCACTAGAGAGTTTCAGGACGAAGGTGACGAGGTATGAGGGCGGAAGTAGACCGGGAACGAGAGCCGAGGAGTTGAGGGAGGAAGATGAGGAGGGCTTATCTGATGAGGAAGAGAACGAGAACGAGAACGAGAACGAGAACGAGGAGGATGAGGAGAATGACGAAAGGGATCACATGATGATGAAGGGGAAGGGAAAGGCCACTGCTGTGAGCAGCCCATCAACTTCGCCAAGACCATCGTTGGCTCATGATGATCCGGCGGATCGAGCAATGACGCCGCCTATCCCAGGCTGGATCCTCGGTGCCGGAGCGAGGACGAGCTTTTTAGGGTATAATCAGCGGAAAAATTCAGGCCAAACACCTACGTCTGCGCCGGCTGATGAGGAGGAGGAAAATGTTGCTGGTGCTTCCGCTCGATGATGATGACGGAACATGGCATGGCAGGAAAAAAAGGTTTCCTTTGTTCGATTTTGGTTGGGTGTACAGCGGGCATCGAACGGCCGGTTGGTTGGAGTGTTTGGTTGGATGCCCTGAAATGATGTTACGACATGAATGCTTTGGGATACCTTTCAGTTCTCTTTTTTACCCTGTTTTTCTTTCCTTATTGTTGGTTTGCTCTCCGCTCAGGGCGTGAGAAAAGCTGTTGGGGGAGAGACACCACCTTTTCTTCTTTTTCTTCTTCTTTGGCTTTTGGGGTTTGGAGAAACGGAATGATACCTTTGATGCGTTGGCGTTGGTTATAAATACTATACCTAAAAGAGGATCTTGGATAGGTCGGGGAAAAGAAAAGGAGGATGGCCCATATAGAGAGAGAGAGAGAAAGAGAGAGAAAAAAAACTGACCAAAAGGCCACGCCGCGAGAAAAAAGGGGGTAGGTAGGTAGATAGATAGATACGTATGCCATGGCAACCATTCTGAAGAGAGAGAGAGAGAGAGAGAGGGTTCTGGTTGGATAAAGAGATGGCTAGGGAGGAATGGGTAAATAATGGATTTAGGTAGATGCTCTCATCGTCGTCAACATGTTTAGAGCAAGCAAGAGCAACCAAGCTGCCCGTCAGATGTCACGCCAGGATGCCACTGACATGAGGCCTTATCTTATCAGCTTCAATGCTTCCATTGGGATATAATTGGACAAGAACCTGTCGTGTTCCACTTTACGGGCTTATGAGTGGATATCTGTTGCCGTGACACTGCCGTAACCATCAATGACTTCATTTTCTTCATGGCAGAAACTGACTGCTTTGGATGGGGGGTTCACAGCATGCCGTGAGACCAGATGCTCCTCTTTGATTTGTACCACTATCACCAATGAAGGAGATGAAGTGGGCAATGAGATTAAAAGCCGGATCAACAAGCAACGCCAACAGAACAAACGGAAGTGAATGGAAGAGCCAAAACCTTTTGTGTACACAGACGGATGCTAGTGTGACCTCCACACAAGCTCCAGGCGGCAAGATGCCGCGCAGTCTCCGCCTAACAATGCCGCTGCCTGCCTGCTCACTTTGCCTGCCGCTTCTACCCAGCCATCCACTATTGTAGCACTTGGCTGCGACCGTGAACCTGCCCCTCTTCCGTCCCATCGTCCCTCCTACGTTGTTAGTGCAGGCAGGTGAAGTGAACAAACCCCAAATTCTCCGCCTCAAAGCTCCCCCATCAGTCATCACGGCCCGCTGTAAAACGGTTCAAGTTTCCTTGCCACAGCGATTACAACCACCTCCTCCCCTGTCCGCCTGCCACCTCACATCTCTGCGGCGCCTTCCCATATCAACCTTACCACAGCAACCACCACCACTTTTTCCTCCCGTCGTCCTCGCCCAAACCGCAACGAATCTTTCTCTCCCCGTCGCAACTCCGAACCCAACGAAGTTCGCCCGTCCGACAGATTTCATTTACATCACCATACCACATATCGCCAACGTAGCAGCCGTTTAGCTGCGCGCCAGATTGCCCAACATGAAGGTCACTTTCAAGGTACGTGCCCGTCAGCTTGCCCATGTCGAGTGTTTGACGTAGCCAGGCAGGCAGGCAGAGAACGAGACATACGTGACGCGATAGCTTCCCGATAAGCTAGAAACATAGCATCATCCTCTCCGGATACTGTCTGCCTGCTTGTTTAGAGCTCGCCATCTATCGCCATCTATCGCCGAGCTCTCATAGTAGTATATACAACCAATACTAACAGTGATCGTTCATCCAGGACCTCAAGCAACAAAAGTTCACGCTCGAGATCGAGCCTACCGAGACCGTGGGTTACCCCTTGTCTCCTACCGTTCCCTTATACACCTACCTTACCTCAAATCGATGCCATGGACGACAACACGCCGCGGCAGTGCTCAGTAACCGAATGCTCTGGGCGCGTTGCGAGCCTCCCATGTCACTTCGGGGAAACGTATGATGCTGGCGAGCTATAGACTAACCAGCTACAGATTGCCAAGGTCAAGGCGAAGATCTCCGAGGAGAGGGGCTGGGCTCCCGAGCTGCAGAAGCTCATCTACTCCGGTAAGCATCGCTTCTCCAAAGATGGGTACAGCTCCCGAATACTGACAATGTTCCAACAGGCAAGATCTTGAAGGATGAGGAAACCGTCGAGAGCTACAAGATTGAGGAGAAGGGCTTCGTTGTCTGCGTCGTAAACAAGGTACGGTTACCCGTGCGCCACTTGGAGGATAAAGCTGACATCTTACAGCCCAAGACCACTGCCCCCAAGCCGGCCGAGTCGTCATCGTCTGCTCCCACCCCGATACCCCCGCTGCCGCTGCTTCGGCCCCTACACCCGCTGCTCCTGCTGCTC